CTGTAACAGTGAAAAAATTGCCTGAGAAAACCTAAAATGTAAAAGGTTTATTTTGGCTCAGGTTTCATTCCATGCTCACTTGGGCCCATTGTGCTGAGTCTGAGGAGACAACATGGAGGAGAGGAAGTATGTGGTGGAGCAGAGCTGCCTAGCTCATGATGGCCAGGAATGCACAGAGAGGGAGGGGCCAGGGGGCAGAATACACTCTTGAAGAACATTTACCCAGTTACCTACTCTTCTGCCTCCCAGGAGTACTTTGTCAAGATTCTGCATGTCATGCTGCAGGACAGTAATCGTGTTTGAACTTTCTCTCATCCACTTAGTGACAAGGCAACCAAACTCAGATTTGCTGCTGGCAAGTACCACACTCTTCGTAATACACTCAGGCCTTATGAGGGGTCTCATATATTTAGAGGGCATTAACTGCTGCTGTTATTCTATGTAGGAGAATTTCATGGCTTTCTGGACTGCTCTGACAGATGAGTACAGGAAATAATAATGAGGGGAATACTGCAACTAGTGGTATTTATATATGAATGCCTGACCTGCTAGGTGATACCTTAGTCGTGTTATGTGCAAAACTTCATTTAGTTCTCACTGAAATTAATACCTTTCAGTATATCCTTTTTACAAATCAGAACACTATAGCTTAGACAGGTTAAGTAATTTGCCCAGCTTAATTTACATTGCTGGGCTCAGATTCAAAAACCAAGTCTTTCGGCCCTGGTGTTCTGTTTTTTGTTGTTTGTTTGCTTGTTATTTTTGTTTTTTTCTCTTCACTAAAGATCTTGCAGTCATAGATAATTCCTAGTTTAATGACTTCTTTAAAGACTGTTTGGACTTATTAGGGAGGCATGCTATTCAGACTTACAACCTGTCTTTTGTGTGTGTGCGGTGTACAGTTCTGTCCTGTTGATAAGAGTCTCAGGTGTCTTTTTTTTGTATAATACACCTTGTTTATACAGTACTGTAAGTTTTGCTGATTGTACCATGCAGTATACTATTTTTTGTTGTTGTTATACATTATAGTACTGCATGTAAGAGTTACACAAATAAAAGCAAAGTAATCAAATTGGAGTTTCCTTTGACCGTTTCTTTGTTCTTCATTCCATCACATAACTACTTAATTGGAGGATGAAACTTGGTTGTTAAATGACTAGTGAATTTAGCTTATTGTGTTTTAGGCACATTCACTAAACGTGCAAATACAGCATTCATGAAAAGACAGATATCTTCAAAATATGTATTATTTCTATAATGTCTGATATGAGGGGGATAAGCTACCTGACTTTTTTGGATATTGAGGTAAAACAAGCACCCTTATGATTGTTTGTTTTGCTACAAAAGGCAATGATTTGGAGGATAGTCTTATGAGATCTGTTGATCACATAAGATACAGGCAGAACAGCTATGCCAAAGTGCCAGAATTTATCAGGGCACTCTGTTGGGCTCACTTCTAAGGACTGTTTGCTTTCAGCAATTCTTCAGGTGATAATAAAACTGATACTTGGAGTTAAATAATCAGATAGAAACAAACTCTTCAGAAAAAGTCTTACTTTTGAAGACTTTTAATATGTAGAAATGTCTCTCATCATTGGTGCAATTATTTTCTTGAGGGTTATAGATACACTTCCAAACCACAGGAAACAATTGAATGATTAATTATCAGTGTTATTCTTGGCTCTGTTATTATTCTGTTTTTAATTTTTGTCTTGCACTCTATAGATGCCAGTTTCACTGACAAGAATATGTGACATTTCCAATGATTATAGAGTCAAGCAGGTTCATGGTACTGAAATCTTATTAGTAGTATTTTACTTTCATTTGTCCCTTGCAGGGACCCGCAGAAGCTTCTTAATTAATGAACCAAAATTGCACATTAAAAACACAGCTTCCAGCAGTATCAACTGTGTGATCAGTGCAACCTTGAAAAATATGTGGAAGCTGCTCAGATGCCAGCAGAAGGCATGTGAGGAAATAGAGGAATAGACACTTCATTGATTTGCTAAAGACCATATCTGGATTGTATGTTTTGTCATCATGATTATTGATGAGCACTTTCTATATTGTAAGATATCCTGGATTTTCTGAAAAATTTTCATCCCTGCTTTTTCTGACATGCAAGGGATCGACATTGCCAGAACCCAGCTGATGTGATGATTTGTTTGGTGGCTACTATATTTTATTTTAAAGGTTATTGGAGAGCGTGCATTCTTAAAAATCATTTCCATTGAGGTATTTTGGTACTATATCTAATACAGATATTACTCTTTTAGTGACTAGTAGGACTTAATACTTGGGCATGCTGCTTGAACTTACTTCATGTCACTTGGACTTACAGCCCATCTTTTTCAAAAATTTTTTTAAATTTTTATTTTATTTTTATTTATTTTTTTGGCTTTTTGAGACAGGGTCTCACTATGTAGTTGAGACTGACTTGGAACTCACTATGTAGCCCAGGCTGGTCTAGAACTCACAGCAATCCAAGTGCTGGGATTACAGGCATGCACCACCACACCTGGCCCTTTAAAAAAAAGTTTTGTACAGTTTTGTACCTCTTGTTTATACAGCCTCTGTCCTTTCTTGACTATCTCTTTGTTCTGAACATTGTACATACTACATAAATACAGTTCCTCGTTTGGCATTCAGTTCATCTAACAACCTAGTCACAGAAACAGAACTCAGTTGTTAAATGAGTGTCTGTATGTTGTTTTAAGTTGTCAGGCTTGACATATAAAGCTGATAGTTTTTTTCCCCTTTCAGGTCTGTTAGCTGAGATTTGAATGTTGGTAGGAAATATGTGTAGAGGTAATAGTTAGCATCTGTTGTGTGTACTTCATTCTGTGATAGGTGCTACACTAAGTCCATTTGTATGTATTGTTTGTATTTAATTCTTAAACTTTCTTAAATAAGTAGAAACTATTATTCCCATTTTATAGATGAAGATATAATGCTCATAACTGTCAAGTGATAGACCCAGATTTCCTCGGCAGCTGATTATTGGGTCTGTGTTCTGATCATGATTCAAACAAATTATTATGAAAATTCAGTACCTGTAATGAAAATCTTATATCACAAGATTGGATTTTATACTTATGAGAGATTTCTCAATCAGTATCAGTGACCATGTCCGTCAGTACTTTTTTATTTAAGATTATTGTAAAGGGGCCGGGGATGTAGTTCATTGGCACTGCAGTGCCTGGAAAGCTCAAGGTCCTGAGTTCAATCCCCAGTACTGCCCCCCAAAAAAGAGAAAGAGAAAGATTATTAAATTGTAGCTATGCTCTATATACAGATAAGGAAGGACTTATTAATAATGTTTTTACAACTAGCAAATTCATTTTGCTGCAGAATGAGGAAAACTGCACACAAAACAAATATTAAAAATGAACAGTATAATTGAGTATTAAGGAAAACAAAAGAGGAGGTTGGTATATGTGAGGGAGGATGTAAGTAGAGACCAGGAAAAGAAAAGTGAGCCGACATTTAGTAAGCACTGATTAGATTCTTTTATTTGGTAACCTGTTTATCAATTCATAAAGATAGCAACAGGGTATTTATTTTAAAGACCTGAGAATTAAACTCAGAATTAGTTGAAATGGGGGGCTCTCTTCTCTGGAATATTTGGATGAGTCACTATTTGGAAAGTAGAATTTCACATTCAGAACGGTCTATTTAAAGCACTCCCTTGTGTCCTAAGATAAAATTGAGATCTAAAACAAAAACTATGCTAGTCTTAAATCTTTTGAAATTGAAATTTTTAGCCTTCTATTCTGATCGTCTAAACTATGCTGGCAATTTTTTCCATATTATCATATTCATTATTGTAGGACCATTTAAACACAAAAAATTACATTAAATATTTAGTAACTTATTTTGCCTTGAACTTATTGTTTGGGTGTACAACATCACTTTACTTTCTCTACTAATATTTGTTATCAAATGATTGGGTTGGGTGGTATGGGAAATGCCCATGATCCCAGCTACTCAGGAGGCTGAGAAAGGAGGATCACACATCTAAAGCCAAACCTTGGAGTCTTAACGAAACCCTGTTGTGACATAAAAGAGGCTAGAGGTGTAATTCAGTGTTAGAATGCCCCTGAGCTTCATGCTCAATGCCACCAAAAAGGAAAAAGAAAAATCATTGGGTCAAATCTCTTATGACAATTATATTTTAATATGTTACCTTCTAGTTTAGGTCTAAATTAGCTGCTTAGTCCTTTTAATTTTTAATGTTTATATGCTATTTTATGCTGGTATTTCCTAAGTAGCTTCCTTATTAGACACTTCCTCAAAATAACTTGAGTTTTGGAAAATGATAGATTACATATTGAATTCTGCCATTTACTCAGCTTTATAACTTTGGGCAGATTCTTGAACCCTCAGTGTACTTATCTGTGAAATGGAATTATGTCTGCGTCACCATAAAGACTGTTGGTACTTCTGTCCAAATTATTAATGTCAGTGTACATGTTTACCAGGCAAGTATATCAACTTATATCATGGTTTATCAGCATAATTTTTAGATATCTCTATCCAGGAAGACATTAGTCTATATTTGTGTGCTGAAGGCATAAATAAAATAGTAGTAACATTCACTGAGGAGTTTTTGTTTTTTGTTTGGTTTTTGTGGTACCAGGGATCAAACTCAGGACCTTGCACTTTAGAGGCAGGCATGGTGCCACTGAGCTAAATCCCCAGCCCAGCATTCATTGAGTTTTGTTTTGTTTTGTTTTATTTGGTATCCGGGATTGAACTCAAACTTGGGTCCTTTTGCTTGCGAGGCAGGCGGTGGAACCACTGAGCTAAATCCCTGGCTCTCAGCATTCATTGAGTTTTAAAATTGAATTTTTTACACCTTTGTTTTTGGAACTCTGCTTTTCATGTTTTTCTTCATAAATAATATCAAATACAAATACAGCTTGAAGATTTTTTAAAAGCATTTTTTTAAAAAAAGCTTGGTTAAAGGAAGGTAAAGGGCATCTTAGGCCTTAAGAAGCATGAGGGTGGTCATCTATAAAGCTTTGAAACATGATCCCATTCCTGTAAGGTCCCAGGCGCTGTCGTTGCCACTTAAGTTCTCAGGTATTCAATGAAAGAAAAATGCCATTGCACTCCTGCCTCTTTGACTACTATACATTCCTTAATTAGAATCTTAAATCATTTCAGAAACTGGAGTCACTTGCAAGCGACTTAGTTTCCAAAGTGAAAGAACAAAATGTGATTTTATTTCTAGGAGTCCATTTTGGGCTGGTGTTTATGCGGCTCTTTTCTCTCTTATATTGGAGTTTTTCGTGTACTCCGGCTATGTATATGTTCTCGGTTTCCTTGTAAACAGAAACTCTTCCTCACCTATTCTGATGACTTCAGTTCTGTAACCTTTCTTGTTCTAACAGAATTGTCTCCTGTGTTAAAAGACCCATATTCCTGTCTGGATATTCAGTACACAACCCAAATTAAGTTTGCTCAGGCAGGAGTAGATACCTGCCTGATATTTCCCCCTGAATTTCCTATCATAAATAATTATCAAAGGTAATTAACAACCTGAGAATAAAATTTTACCTGTTAATAAAGCTTCTGTGTAAGTGCCTGCAAAGGTTGGAAAGTCAGTTGCTATGGTGGGTTTGGAGAAATCACAGGCTGAGACATTAGAGAAAGGATGTGTAGGAATGAGCCCAAATCCTGTCATCTGCCCTGGCATCTCTCTGTTGTAGTCAGTGGTCTCTGTACAAATAGTAAGCAGTATTGAATAAGAAATTGAATGTGCTGTTAGGGAACATGAGCTTTTAATATCATCAATTTTGGGTCATCTCAAAACAGGTATAAGAAATCTACCTTAGCCAGGGCTTTAGCTCAGTGGTTCCACCACCTGCCTCGCAAGCGCAAGGTCCTGAGTTTGATTCCCCAGTACCAAAAGAAATCTACTTTAGTTAATACGATTAAATAATACAGTGGACCACCTAACTCATTACTGCCTGACCTATGGGAGGTAGGCCATTGTTGGTTCCCGCCTCTTTTCCCATGTTTCCTTTATGACTTGCTGGTCTTTTGTTTGAATGAATGTTAAATTGCTGTAAGGTGGAGTCTGCTTTACTTTTTTAAGTAAGTTAGGATAATTAAAATACAGACTATGGAGTTTTCCCTCAGAAGCCACAGTCATCTGTCATGTGCTCATTTGACTTTCAAATACAGGAAGTTGCTTACTGCTAAATTGATAAAGAAGCGCCATTTGGGGCATTAGATAAATACTAGCTCTGGCTTAGGCTTCATTAAAATATACTCCCAAGTTTTTACTAATCAGAGAAGTAGTTCTTAACTGTGGATCATTTTTTAGTAACTTCTTTTGCATTTTCTGTCTCTGCCAGGTATAAAGAAGGAAATAATATAATAAACAGTTGTCTTAAATTATTAACTTACAGTTAGAATACACCTTTTATAAATGTATGTGATATAATTTATGAATTATGTTAATTTTTAGAATTTGTGTTCAAATTGAAATATTTAAATTGTTATTTCTTAGCTCCACATTGATTTAGTTAGTTGTTTGAGGGGCGTTATTTTTGAGACAGAATCTTGCTGTGTAACCTAGTCTGGCCTGGAACTTGTTGCAATCCTCCTGCCTTAGCTGCCTCCTAAGTGCTGGGTTTACAGGCATGCCCCACCACTTCTGGCTGTTTAGTTTAGACATTTTCTTCAAAAATGATTTCTTATGTAAAATATGTTAAAATGATTTTCTTTATAGAAAAATTCTACCTTTTTCTGCTTGGGATATTTTGCCTTATATAATTTATACCTGTCATCCCACGACATGACTCTTCTAAAATTGTCGTCACTGTTGTTATCCCATTGTGTCTGTAGTTTTTTGGTGTGTGTGTGTGTGTGTGTGTGTGTGTGTGTGTGTGTGTGTGTG